GTCAATGATTAGCCAGATGCCCTATCATAATAGAAATACATTTTGTCTATAATCCAGTGCAAGAGAGGTCCATTTCTGAGCATTGATCATAACTTTGATATAATGCAGATGTACTGTTTCACATTTCACGCATAGGTACATATGAAGTCAGTTGTCTTGCAAAAGAGGAACTTGAAAAAGAGATTTGTTTATATAAAGCACATCTGTGATACCTTAGGTGTCCCAATCATTTTAGAAGGTGGATCAAGTGAGGAATATTGTATTAGTAGATAACATTGCTAAGTTGTGGTGCCCCTGATTTCAAGCATAAATATGGACAAGAAATTGCAATTAGTTACAACAAAGCAGTTCTTTCAGGGTCCTTATCAAGGTAAAAACCTTATCCAAATACCTACTGTACTAACTGTCCTGATTTAACCACTTGCCCTCCAGAGGATTTACCCCCCTTCCTGATCAGGCCATTTTTTTGCAATACGGCGCTGGGTTACTTTAACTGACAATTGCGCGGTCATGCAATGCTGCACCCAATTGAAATTTATGTCCTTTTTTCCTCAGAAATAGAGCTTTCTTTTGGTGGTATTTGATCACCTCTGCATTTTTTATTTTTTTACACTATAAACAATTTTTTTAAAATTCTAATTTAATCTAATTTTAAAAAATCTAATTTCGACATAAATTTAGGCCAAAATGTATTCTGCTACATGTCTTTGCTAAAAAAAATCCCAATACATGTAAATCAATTGGCATGTAAATATATTTGGAAAGTTATAGCATCTGCAAATGGCAGTATATATACTGGAATTGTTATTTTTTTATTTTTTCTATACTAGTAATGGCGGCGATTGGTGACTTATAGCTGGACTGCAGTGGGCATTCTGACACTGGGTGGGAATTGACTAACCGCCACTGACATCCCCAGTGACACTAATACAGTGATCAGTGCTAATAAAAAGCACTGACACTGTATTAATGGCACTGGGCAGGAAAGGGTTAACATCTGGGGCGTTCAAAGGGTTAACTGTGTGCTGTGTGTGTTTCACATTATGTGCTGTGAGCTGTTTTACAATGGAGACATGCTGTTTTGTATTTCTCTGCTGTGCAGAGAAATACAAAGCAGCATGTCCTTGCTGAAAGGAGAGAGACCTGTGTTGTTTATACACAGGTCTCTCCCCTGTCAGCTTTCCCTGATGATCGCCCGGTGATTGACATCTCTAGCTGCCAATGGCAGCACGAGTAGGGAAACGTGCGTTTGCCCCCTACCTGGAAATTCAAATCACGTATATATACGTTATTTTGCGCAGCCCTGCCAATTCTTAGATGTGATACCTGTATTAGTTTTCTTTTTTTTGTGTGTGCGTGCAGAAGCTCAGGTTTCACAGATAACTGACACAATAGTTGTTCACTGGTTCAGGACAGGTTTAGATCAGATTCAGGTCACGTTTAGATCAGGTTCAGGTCAGGATCTTGCCATGTTCACAACTGATGACATTTCCGGTTTAGAAATGGTTCCCATAGAAGTCAATAGCCTGTAATCCGTACCTGAACTGGACCACACTGCAGCACTGCCAGTGCATTGAACATATGTGAACAGGCGCCATAGAAAGCAATATTATTTCATGTCATTCGGTTCAAACAGCATCCAATACGCATATATGTGAACCAGCACTCAGGCTTTCTTTGTTCTATTTTCAGCTGCTGATCCTGAAAGTAAGTCTGGTGTTTTTCAACAAAGCTGTCCTGCACATCTAACAGAGAGTTGAGACAACCCATTCAAAAGTGACAGGGATGGTCATCTTTTATTTTTTTTTATGTAAAACCTTTATTCCTAGTCCTACATTAAGTTCTCCCTTCTCATTTGACTGACTGCTGCATTTAGAAAACCAAGTATTTCCTATGAGAAAATGATCACATCACTTTCAGATAGTAGCACCTACAATATCACCTCGTACTAATGCTGAGGAATAGACTAGGCATCATAGGATGTAATATTAAGAATTATGGATAATATAAAGGGTAACAGATTAGCAAGTACACATACACAATTTTAACTTACAAATTTCAGAGTGTTTGCATAAAGAATTACTTTACTTCTGCATTAACTAAAAAAATATGTTTATATGGATATCTTTATCCCCGTTGGAAAGATTCTGCTCCCTTTCAGCTTTAAATACTGTATCAGGTGGCACAGACAACAAAAGAAAAAACATGGCAGACTTTTCTCCCTCCACCCCCACACCATAAAAAAACACAAACGAAGAAAAAGCTTATGTGTGCTAGTGTGGCTTCAGGAAAACAAATTATTCTGTATATATTGCTGGAAAATGTAAAAATGAGAAACTTTTCCATACTGCAATTGGAGACACAACATTGTCATTTACTTCACTGGGAGCTTTTCAATAAAAACAAAGCTTCCAGAAGCCTGTAATATTCTCAGAAAACAGTTTGTCCTTTGTTCAGCCTTGATGTGTATGGTAATAACCTACTGTAGCATGCTGTACTAATCAGTGAACTATCCAAAAAAGATTACTTTAATGTCATGCTCATAAAAAGAAAAATAGATAGAACATAAACGGAATCTCTTCTAATTCAGCAGAAATCAGGTTACACTGGGTAAATGCAAGAATCTGAATAGTCAGTCTGAAATTTTTATTTAAAAAAATATATGTAAAGTCATGGTCACAAATATTGGCATGCCTGCATTTCTGTCAGATAATACACCACTACTCCCAAACAATTGTTGCAATTACAAATGTTTAGGCATTCTCATGTTTATTTCTTTTGTTTGTATTGGTATGAAGCAAAAAAATGGAAAAACAAAAAGCCATATCTGCCACATTCCATGCAAAACCTCAAAAATGGACTGGACAAAATTATTGACACCGCCAATTTAATATTTGGTAACACACCCCTTGGAATAAATGAAACTGAACTCAATCACTTCCTGTAACCATCAATGAGTTTCTTACACCTCTCTACTGGAATTTTGGACGACTCTTCTTTCGCTAACTGCTCCAGGTCTCTTAGATTGGAAGCGTTCCTTTTCCCAACTGCTGTTTTGAGATCTCTCCACAGGTTCTCTATGGGATTGAGATCTGGACTCATTGCTGGCCATTTCAGTACTATTCTGCGCTTTGTATAAAACCGTTTCTGGGTGCTTTTTGATGTGTGCTTTGGTTCATTGTCTGTTTTCACTCTGGGCCCTACATTACACCCCAGAATTCTTTGGTATTCTTCAGATTTCATATTGCCATGCACATGGCCAAGACATCCAGTGCTTGAAGCAGCAAAACAACCTCAAAACATCAGTGAACCTCCACCATGTTTGACTGTAGGGACTGTAATCTTTTCTTTAAAGGCCTCATTTCTTTTTATGAAAACAGTAGAATGAAGGGCTTTACCAAAAAGCTGTAATTTTGTTTCATCTGTCCACAGCACATTCTTCCAACAGGATTTTGGCTTCCTTAGGTAAGTTTTATCAAACTCCAATCTGACTTCTTTTGTTTCTGTGTCAGCAGTGGGGTCCTCCTGGGTCTCCTACCATAGTGTCCCTTTTCATTCAGATGGCGATGTATAGTGTGAGATGATACAGTTGTACCCTGTGCCTGGAGGTCAGCTTGAATTTGTCTGGAAGTTGATCAAGATTCTTTAGCCACCATTAAAACAATCCTTCGTGTAATCTTTATCAATTTTTCCTCTTTCGTCCATGTCCAGCAGGATTAGCTACAGTGCCATGGGCTGTAAACTTCTTGACAATGTTGCGTACAGTGGACACAGGAACATTAAGATCTCTGGAGATGGAGGACTTGTAACCTCGAGATTGTCTATGCTTTTCCACAATTTTTGTTCTCAAATCCTCAGACAATTCTTTGCTGCTCATTCTCTTCTCCATGCTCCATGTGGCACACAGAGACACACAACAGAAAGGTTGAGTCAATTTTTCACCATTTTAGCTAGTTGCCGGTTTGATTTCTGCACCTGTTAACTGATACAGGTGAGTTTAATTATAAGTTACAGGAGCATCACAAACTCGGAATGCAATATTTCTTCCAATTTTGAGAAGGTGCCAATAATTCTGTCCAGTCCATTTTTGGAGTTTTGCGTGGAATGTGTCAGATTTGGCTTTGTGTTTCTCCACTTTTTTGTGTCATACCAATACAAACAAAAGAAATAAACACGAGAATGCCTAAACATTTGTCATTGCAACAATTTTCTAGGTGAAGACGTGCATTATCTGACAAAAATGCAGGGGTGCCAATATTTTTGGCCATGACTGTATATATCGGTCTCCTTTTGGCTTAGCTTACTTTATTTACTGTTTAAAAATGACTCTCAAGGCTGAAAATCAGACGCCCTGAGCTTTATGTCAAATACTAGAATAATCTTCCTCCGGGAAGTACAGGAAGTTAAACTTTAAGGTTAACATTTCATTGTATAGTCATTTTTTATTTGAAAAAGCATGTGTAGGATCCCGTTCATCTCATAACCTAGACTATAATACCTTTCGATTTAAAAAAAAAAAAGAGTAGCAGTTACTATATGGATATATGATCTCATTTACAGCATTACAATCCATATTATATACCTTTTAGGGTTTCGGGGGGCCTTTTTCTATCTAAGATTGCAACAAACACATTTTTTGGCCCTGTGCTATAGAACAGCCCACATACAATACAAATATGCAATTTGAAAACCTGCTAAGGTACACATCTCTGTTAAAGTTGTAAAGACCCTTTAATGATTACAGGTAAAGCTATAATAAGTCTCACTTGTAGGTACAGTAAATATCTCCTAAATGTGCACCGACCCGTTTACAGGGTATCTAGCAGCGTTGGTGATGTCACCAGTGTAAGGACACTGCACTCTCAATGCACAGCATGACAGTAGATTATGGCAACATTATTGCACATTATGGCAAATGTACCTGAGGCCCCAAATTTCACAACACAAAGTACACTAGCTAAGTAAAGGACACATGCCATAATTACACAAAAAGATCATACCTTTGGGATATTCTGCCAGAGTGTTACGTGTTAAACAGACCTTTCCAATGACATCATCACGACTAGAAAATAAACAAAACAGCTCTAGTTAAAGACTGTAGGACATTCACAATTTGCTTGTCATGGGCTGCTGCGTTTTCATTTAGCTTGAGGCTTTCCATTATGCAAATGACAAATCATCAATAGAACCGTTTATTAGCAGTCTATTACATTTATTGCTTGCTAGAACCTGATAAGAAAGCTGATGGCATTTTGTGCTATGAAATTTCAGTTTCCGTATTAATTTGTGAACATTGAAGAAAGGAAGGATACAGTTCTAGATATAACATTCCTTGGAAATCTGATTTCACCACTGCTTGAAGGTAAATAATATAATAATATCTCTAACATTCTTTAAAGTGTTACTAAACCCACAACAGTAAAATCAGTCTGTATATGCAGTAAAGCATGCTTGTTATACTCACTGTGGAACCTAAGGGGTTAAACCTCTGCACTGTGTAAAAAGGCTGTTTAAACCTGTCTTCTCTGATCCTCCCCTTCTTCTACTGTCCCCAATCCATCTGCTGATAGAACAGAGCCTTGGGGGCAAGCTGCACATGCTCAGTTTGGTGTGCATTGCTAAATAGTTTTTTTTTTCCTTGGGAGAGTTCATGTGATCAGCACAGGACCAATCAGCGCTATCCAGACAGTGGGTCAGGGGTTATGCAGCCTCATAGGACAATCAGAGGAGAATGAAAACTCCTCCCACAAGCTTTATCCAGTGCTCTGCTGGACACTGATAGAAGTCACAAGACTGCACTAACTGCTGAAGTCAAAAGGTATTTAGCAGTTTATATTTACTAAAATAATTTCATTTCCATGTTCTGTGTACTGTGGGAGACCAGATATAGTGAATGCAGGTTGAAAGGTAGGTTAATTGGCTCCTTTCTAAATTGTCCCTAGTATGTGTATGTATGAATGTGAGTTAGGGACCTTAGATTGTACGCCCCTTGAGGGTTAGGGACTGATGTGAATGTACAATATATATATATGTAAAGTGCTGCGTAAATTGACGGCGCTATATACAGTGGGGCAAAAAAGTATTTAGTCAGCCACCAATTGTGCAAGTTCTCCCACTTAAAAAAATGAGAGAGGCCTGTAATTGGCATCATAGGTAAACCTCAACTATGAGAGACAAAATAAGAAAAAAAATCCAGACAATCACATTGGCTGATTTGGAAAGAATTTATTTGCAAATTATGGTGGAAAATAAGTATTTGGTCAATATCAAAAGTTCATCTCAATACTTTGTTATATATCCTTTGTTGACAATGACAGAGGTCAAACGTTTCCTGTAAGTCTTCACAAGGTTGGCACATACTGTTGCTGGTATGTTGGCCCATTCTCTAGAGCAGTGATGTTTTGGGGCTGTCGCTGGGCAACACGGACTTTCAACTCCCTCCAAAGGTTTTCTATGGGGTTGAGATCTGGAGACTGGCTAGGCCACTCCAGGACCTTGAAATTCTTCTTACGAAGCCACTCCTTCATTGCCCGTGCAGTATGTTTGGGATCATTGTCACGTTGGAAGACCCAGCCATGTTTCATCTTCCATGCCCTTGCTGATGGAAGGAGGTTTGCACGGACCCCAAAATTTGACCCCATTGTTGACAGGGGGAGTTGGGCAGGGGAAGGGCAAACAAGGATGCTGTGCAGGCACCTCACATGCTCCTTATGACGTAATCAGTTGTTAGGATGCCAGCAGCTGGCCTGCATAGTGCCTAAGGCTGTATTGGTACATAATAAAAACCTGTGGCTTTGTGCAACAAAAAAGTCAGGCTGGATCCATGTGCCGGCTTGTTGACAATTTTTGGGCAATTTTTAGGCATTTTATCACAGCACCTCTGAACAACCCAGACGGCACTCTAGTTGAAAAGGTCTGGAGTAGGGAAATGTTAAAACCACTATCAGGCTATTTTTTGCCCTTCACTTCCTGTCTTGCACATGCAACAGGAAGTAGTAGACACTCTCTCTATTAGATTGTTGTAGGGATGAATCTTGCAACAAATACCAATCCTTTCCCACTCTATATACAACTGAAAAGTACTCATTCTTAATGTGTAACCCATAGCAGATAAGCAAAATCCATCTTTAACTGGTCTGACTACAACTAAGTTGAATTTGGTTGGTATAGGTTTAGTAAGAGCAGAAGAGGCATATGTATAAACATGAGACAAACTCAGGCAAATTCATTGGCCTAAAAATAACTGAACCCTGGGAGTTAATAGCAGGTCGAACCTCCTTTGATAGCAGTGACTTCAAGCAAACCCTTACGGTAGCTCTGGTTTAAACCTGCACAACGTTCAGGAGTTTGTGGTCATTCTGTTTTTTACAAAACTGCTTTAGCTCAGAAACATTTGTAGGATATCTGGTGTGAATGGCTCTATGGGGTTAAGATATGGGCTCTGAGTGGACCACTCTAAAAGGTGGATTTTCTTTTTCTGAAGCCAGTCTGTGGTTGATTTACTTTGAAGCTCAGGGTCACTGTCCTGTCGCATCACCCAACTGTTATTAAGCTTCAACTGGTGGACAGACACCCAGTTATTATCCTCTAGGATATTTTGGTAAACTTCGGAATTATTTATTCCTTGATGATGGCCAGTAGTCCAGGCCTAGAGACAATGAAGCCCAAATCATGATCTTCTCTCTACCACACTTCATTTTTAAAGTCGGTGGGCTGTTTTGTTTTGCACCATACATAGTGCTGATTATTGTTCCTGAACAATCCAACTTTTGTTTCACCAGTCACCAGAACAATTTCCCATTAGTGTGCAGTTTGCCAAGATGCTCTTTTGCAAACGTCAGGCACGCGGCAATGTTTTTTTTTTTGTAGAGCTGCAGCTTTCTCCATGGTGTTCTGCCATGGCCACCCTGCCTGTTCAAAAACTTACATAAGGTAGACTCATGAACAGGGAGGTTTGCCAGTTCCAGTGATGGCTTCAAGCCTTTAACTGTTACTTGTGGGTTCTTATTTAGCTCATTGAGTATTCTGCATTGTGCCTTGGCTGGGTGGCCACTTCTGAGAAGAGTAGCCACAGTACTAAACTGTCTCTATTTATATATGATTTGTCTAATTGTCGACTGATGGATGCCTATAAATTTTCAGATTGCTTTGTATCCCTTTCCAGTCTTATGCAGATCATCTACTCTTGATCATATGTTTAAAGAGATTGTCAGGAAAGGCTTGTCCATAGTGCAAGTGAGGGTTCGCGGCGCATAAATATACGCATGCGCAGAACAATAATGGGCCACACAGATGTGTATGGATTTGGGCAAAGGCGCGCACAAATGCGCACGCGTACTCACGCATCCAGGCGCACGTCTGTCACTAATGCTGGCACCAAAAGGGCTATTTAACCACCTCCCGCCCGCCATATAGTAATATGATGGACACAAGGTGGTTCTTGCGTTCTGGGAGGATGTCATATGACGTCCTCCCATTCTAACAGTGCATGTGCGGCTAACAGAGCACGCAGCGCAGCAATTGGCGGTGCGCTGTGTCTCTCGGACACAGCGGATCACCGATCCACGGAAAGAGCCGAGGATGTTGGCTCGGTCATGTGATCTGCTGTGTCCAATCACAGCTGATCACATGTAAACGGAAATGTCGGTTATCGGTATTTCTCTCCCCACGAGCTATCACGCTGACAGCTCGTGAGGAGAGGAGAGCCGGTAATCGGCATTCCTTGGAGGGGACATGTACACAGATCATCAGAGCACTGATGATCAGTGTGCCCTGATGATCTGTGTAGCCCCAGCAGCGCCACCTGTCAGTGTCCATCAGTGCCAGCTCTCAGTGCTCATCCATGCCACCTGCCAGTGCCCATCAGTGCCACATTTCAGTGCCCATCGGTGCCACATCAATGCCACATATCAGTGCCCATCTGAGCTGCCTTTCAGTGTCACCAATCAGTGCCAGTAAGTGCCACCTATCAATGCCAGTCAGTGCCATCTATCAGTGCTGCCAATCAGTGCCACCTATCAGTGCCAGTCAGTGCCGCCTATCGGTGCCAGTCAGTGCCACCTATCAGTGTGCATCATTGCTGCCTATCAGTGCCCGTCAGTGCTGCCTATCAGTGTCGCCTAACAGTGCCAGTCAGTGTCGCCTATCAGTGCCAGTCAATGCCGCCTATCAGTGCCATATATGAGTGCTGCCTGTCAATGCCCATCAGTGCCACCTACCAGTGCCTCCTCATCAGTGCCCATCAGTGTCACCTATCAGTGTCCATCAGTGCAGCCTATCAGTGTCCATCACTGCAGCTTCATTAGCGCACATAAGTGAAGGAGAAAAATACCTTATTTACAAAATTTTATAACAAAAACTAAGAAAAAACATTTTTTTTCAAAATTTTTCAAAATAAAAAAAACTCAGAGGTGATTAAATACTACCAAAATAAAGCTCTGTCACAAAAAAAAGATACAAATTTCATATCGGTACAGTGTTGCATGACAGCGCAATTGTCATTCAAAGTGCAACAGCGCTGAAAGCTGGAAATTGGCCTGGGCAGGAAGAGGGTATAAGTGCCCTGTAAGCTAATGGTCAAACTGGTTGCAGTCGTGTCTCATTGCTGTTTGGTCTGCAGCTCCTGAGTGTGTTCCTGATCCTTGTGCCCGACCTCTGATATTAACTGGCTTGTTCCTGATCTTCGCTTGTCTGCTACATGCCCCGACCCCGGGTTGACTTAACTAGTCTTCTGCCTCCTGATCTTGTCCGACTGTACCTCTGCTGCTGACGTGGCCTGTGACCTGACTTCTCTGCCGCCTGTCGTCTTTGCTTGATCTGCCCAACTGTTACTCGTCTGACTTTGCATCTGCCTTCCTGCTAGCTACAGTTCATCAGTCCGGCAAGTCTGCATCTGGATTCTGCTTCCTGCTGTTACCTATAACCTTCCGTCAAGCAAGATCCATGCCTAGCTGTCCACCTTCAACCTGTCCTGCTTCTTCACCTGTCTGTAGACTTCCACTCACGCACCTACTACTGGACTGATCACAGGCAATTATACCTCACCGTGCCCCTGTGGCTACTGTCCCACTACCATTGGACCTCGAGCCGGAGCTGTACGGGAGACCTGCCTCCACGTCTGGATCACTATCTAAGGTACATGACAGAGAGCTTCTTATTGTGAGGCATGGGTTACATCAGCTGACGCTTCTTATGTACAGTAGTCTTAAAATGTTTGAGTGTCTTTTAGTGTCGATCAGTATAGCTCTAAAACACACCTCTAAACTCATTTCATTAACCACTTGCCCTCCTGAGGATTACCCCCCTTCCTGACCAGGCCATTTTTTGCTTTAACTGACAATTGTGCAGTCATGCAACGCTACACCCAAATTAAATTTACATCCTTTTTTTTCCCACGAATTGAGCTTTCTTTTGGTGGTATTTGATCATCTGTGCATTTATTATGTTTTATGCTATAAAAAAAAAGTGCGACAATTTTGAGAAAATAATAATATCTTTTACTTTTTGCTATTAAACAAGTCCAGTAAAAAAAAATTAAAAAATCTAATTTCGTCATAAATTTAGGTCGAAATGTATTCTGCTACATGTCTTTTCTAAAAAAAAATCCCAATACGTGTAAATTAATTGGTTTAAGTGAAAGTTATAGTGTTTACAAATGGCGGTATATACTTTATACTTAAATTTTTTTTTTTTTACTAGTAATGGTGGCAATCAGTGACTTATAGCAGGACTGCGCCGGCATTCTGACACTGGGGGAAACACTGATATTCCCAGTGACACCAATACAGTGATCAGTGCTAAAAAAAAGCACTGACACTGTACTAATGGCACTGGGCAGGAAGGGGTTAACATGAGGGGTGATCAAAGGGTTAACTGTGTTCTGAGAGTGTTTTTAGTGGGGGGCGATGTGTTGGCGCTTCACTGTAAGCACACTGCTCTGGATGGCTGTGCCTGAGCCGACAGGGAGGAGGACTGTTAGTAAACAAAGCAGCCCTCCTCCCCATCGGTGATCCTTGGTAATCACTTGTCACCGGCGGGTAATCATTGGTCGGGACCCGGAGATTGACAACCGCGGCTGCGAATGGTGGCTTGGGTAGGGCCGTGATTTGCGCACCCCTTCCACCCTGTAGCAGTATTTCTGGTGCTGGGGAAGTGGTTAATTTCTTTGACCAAACAATCAGAAACAGACTTCATGAGGGTGGTCCGAGGGCCCGACGTCCATTGAACACCAGAATTGACAGGTCCGCCACTGGCGTCCTGTGCTTTTTACAGATGAGAGCAGGTTCACCCTGAGCACATGTCAAAGGACCTGGAGAAGCAGTGGAGAATGTTATGCTGCCTGTAACATCGTTCAGCATGACTGTTTTGGTGGGGGTCAGTGATGGTCTGGGGAGGCATATCCATGGAGGGACGTACAGACCTCTATAGGCTAGACCGGGTGTCGGCAACCCGCGGCTCCAGAGCCGCATGTGGCTCTTTTTCACCTTGGCTGCGGCTCCGGAGCACACTGCCCACCAGGTGACAGGCGGACCTTTTAATCCGGCCCGCGGAGCTAGGCTCCTCTCACAGTCCGGATATAACCATTATGGCAATTGCCGAATTCTAATATTATAATATGTATTATGGTATACCTATGGTATAATTTTTGGATACACCTCCTTTGGGAAGTGTTCACCTATGTGTCTGTGTCTCAGGGACATTAGACTCTTGTAGTCATTTTCTCTGTTGCACATGCATTTAGATCGGTCTTGGTGTTATTTTAATGGTTTTAGGTCTGTGTGTATTGTCTCATACTGAGGTGATGGTAAACCAGGGCGATTGCCCATATGTCATATTTATAAGTGTAATAAAGCATAATTTTTGGAAATTTTTCTGAGTGTCACATTCTGTTCATAATGTAGCCGCTTTTCTGTGAATTTCTTTTCACAAATTCTCCTTTTTGCATCCTCTCACAGTCCGCCCTGAAGACCGGTGTAGCATGAAAATCTGTCTCCTATGAGGATCTGTCCCCCTCGACGTATCTGCGCATGTGCCGGAGATCGCCGATCGGCTGCTAATGCCTGAAACTGGCACATGCGCAGATACGTCGAGGGGGGACAGACCCTCATAGGAGACAGATTTTCATGCTACACCGGAACGACGCAGGAACACGGCGAGAGGAACGCGCGGAGCAAAGGTAAGTGAATTGACACAGGGGGGACTTGGGGACTTAATATGGGGGATGAATTAATATGGGGGATGAATTACTATATGGGGGATGAATTACTATAGGGGGGATGAATTACTATGGGGGATGAATTACTATGGGGGATGAATTACTATATGGGGGATGAATTACTATGGGGGATGAATTACTATATGGGGGATGAATTACTATGGGGGATGAATTACTATATGGGGGATGAATTACTATAGGGGGGATGAATTACTATATGGGGGATGAATTACTATATGGGGGATGAATTACTATAGGGGGGATGAATTACTATATGGGGGATGAATTACTATGGGGGATGAATTACTATATGGGGGATGAATTACTATATGGGGGATGAATTACTATGGGGGATGAATTACTATAGGGGGGATGAATTACTATATGGGGGATGAATTACTATGGGGGATGAATTACTATATGGGGGATGAATTACTATATGGGGGATGAATTACTATGGGGGATGAATTACTATGTGGGGGATGAATTACTATGTGGGGGATGAATTACTATGTGGGGGATGAATTACTATATGGGGGATGAATTACTATGGGGGATGAATTACTATGGGGGATGAATTACTATATGGGGGATGAATTACTATGGGGGATGAATTACTATATGGGGGATGAATTACTATATGGGGGATGTATTTTCAGTTTTAGAAATGTGGCTTTCAAAATAAATTTCAATCGTGGTTTTGGCGAGATTTGGCTCAGATGAAAAAAAAGGTTGCCCACCACTGACCTAAGGCTATGATTGATTATGACGATACACACTGTGGCCCTGATTAACCCTTTGCTTACTGGGCCCTTAAACCCCCTTCATGACCAGAGCGCTTTTTACAATATATGCAGTGTCGGATTTGTTTTAAATGTTGTAATGGTTTTGCGGCTCCCAGTCTTTTTTTCCCTCTCGGAAACGGGTCCAAGTGGCTCTTTATGTCTTAAAGGTTGCAGACCCCTGGGCTAGACAATGGCACCTTGACTGCCATTAGGTATTGGGACGAAATCCTTGGACCCATTGTCAGTCCCTACACTGGTGCAGTGGATCCTGGGTTCCTCTTGGTGCACGACAATGCCCGGTCACATTTGGTAAGAGTATGCAGGCAGTTCCTGGAGGATGAAGGAATTGATACCATTGAAAGGCCCCCCTCACTCGCCTGACCTAAATCCAATAGAACACCTCTGGGATATCATGTTTAGGTCCATCCATCGTCGCCAGGTTGCACCTCAGGCTGTCCAGGAGCTCAGTGATGCCCTGTTCTAGATCTGGAAGGAAATACCCCAGGACACCATTTGTCGTCTCATTAGGAGCATGTCCCGACGTTGTCAGGCATGCATACAAGCACATGGGGGCCATACAAACTACTGAGTACCATTTTGAATTGCTGCAATGAAATTTCAGCAAAATGGACTAGCCTGCTGCATCACTTTTTCACTTTGATTTTCGGGGTGTCTTTGAATTCAGTCCTCTGTAGGTTGATAATTTTCATTTCCATCAAACAATGGGGCATCCTTACATTCCTAATACTTTACTTAGTTCATATCAGTATAGATATCCAGCATGAGATTTTTCCCCATTGAGATTTGATGTGTTTTCAAAGTGTTCCTTTAATTTTTTTGAGCAGTGTATGTATTGTTTTAAGCAAACGCTTAACAAATGCTATTCAAGATAAAGCAGATAAAACTGATAACTGACTGTGTCAGAATAACATGAGTTGTTGGCATTCCATGAAAAACTGAAGGGAGCAATATGACAGAGTATATTGAGAAATGGCTTCTCCGTGTGTTTATGAAAGATGCATTTTCTTTTTTTGTGTTTGCAGTTGAGAATGCTCATCGTGTTCTGTAGAGAGCACGATGCCTTGACAATATTACAATAAATGGTGCAAAAATGTCATATCCAGATTTCTCTGCTGATGTGCATAAAAAAAAAAAAGAGCTTAGTTCCAGGAAATTGAAAACTGTTTGCTGAAAGTGCTACATGCTATGTTCTATCCTGCAGGACCGAGAGTTGTTGCTAGAGGAGAAACCTATTTTCTGGGCAACCAACTGATGCAACTGCATGGATTGAAAAGAAAGAAAAACATTTATGATAACACTGCCTTGAAAAAATACTGCACCTGATGGTTCTGCAAAGCACTGGAATTTTATCTTCTTTTATGGAAAAT